AATGTCTTCCTTTGCAGATTTCCGACAGGAGGTGGTGTCCTCAGTCGTTTGATAATGAAAACAAAAACAAAAACAGTCTTCGATATGTTTTCGCACTGAGTGTGAACTGTATTTATTCCCCGTTGTAACTGGTCGAGGCGGTAACCCTGCGCACAATCGGTTGTGTCCAAATTAGTCGAAGAAACGTTCGATAAAGATAACGGGGTTCAGGGGCCCAAATGACTGAGGGTGTACAGAAATACCTGGACCGATTGTGTTAGCTGATACGATCCAAAAGATTAGTACGCCACGAACCGGACTTGTAGGACAACCCTCGGTTACACACAACTCCGACCGACCGACTGCATGCACTGTGTGGACGAAAGTCCTCCAACTCAGCAGCTATGGGACATCACAAAAGACTTCCAAAATAACTAAATGAACAGAAACTTATTCGAGTTTGGTTATAGGCTTTGATCTTTTCGCGCATCAACTGCTTCAGTTTTCCTTACTTTCTGACATCAAGTGATTAAAAACGTTGGTTTCGAATCCGTGTAATGCTGTTCATTGTCAAGTTCAACCGCACAAGCACGTCTCACTTGCATATTTCAACCACTGGTTCCCTGCAGTACCAGTGCAGTATACATTGAATCGCAGGGTGGCTGGAAAGTAACTGACGCGGTTGGTGTGAGACTGGGTGGGACGACAAAACATTCACAATCATTCGGTCAAATGGTAGAAGAACCCTAAAACTGCTACCAAACTCCTTTTCGATTATTCATTCACACAAACTGAGACGTCTTACACAGTGTTTTGAGATGAACAAACACGGCTTAACACTGACTTGTTTGGTTTATGCACATTTACAAACACCAGACTCTCTGTATGCTCGGTATTTAGCCTCCCAACAGGGACGAATAGTAGTCCTCACCGCTGACTACGTTTCGGTTATGAATGAAATAGCTAACCATTATTCTTTATTGATTGACCGACAAATTCTATCACAAATGAGATTGATAGTTTAGCAGCTAATAACGAGCAGAATACCGGAATATATAACGTTTTTGTTTGTCACCTTCAACTACACAATACTAACTGCACTCTCTCGGTTTCCTGTCCTCTCGGTTTCTTGTCCGCAATTTTCCGCCCCACTTTCAGTCAAAATGAAAGAATAAACACTTTCAATCTACGGAAGGAAATTCGTGGGCACTCTGAGAATGCGCTACTCACAGAAGATAGTTTACACAAAAGTATATTGACGGTAGATACGTGCAACAATGCTATTGGGTTTCAGCTTCACCTGTTCCAATGATAAATTCACGAATAATGTAAGTTATTTATATGTTCAGGTGGTACATTGAAATAAATAAAAACTTAAAACCTTGATTTCACCGGTCAAAGTTGTCTACCGCCGCCTCGAGAACGAATTTCCCAATATGAACGCAGGTTAATAGGAATCCTGAGAATAGCTCATGATTAAATTTAAAAAATCCACCGCTAAAAAATGTGTGATGTTCTTTTGGGGGAGGGGAATGGTGTATGGGGGGTTGCACACCATTCAATGCGTACGACCAAAGTGTTGTGTGCATGTTCTACAATTTTCGAGGTCATTTATCTAAATCGATTAAAAGGTTCTTTCTGCCTCGTTTGATCGACTACCGAAACTCGCGATAAATAGACGCAGTGAAATGGCCAAAAATATACCGTTCAGTTTATCAGAATAAATCAAGGTAATTAAATGATGCAATTGATGAGATCATATTGCTCCTCATTCGATAATTCCATCGGTACTTATTCCATTGGTACTTATTCTCATTCGTTCTGATTGGTGGTTCGCAGTGGATATCAGGAGGCGATGTTAAATGACTCCGCCGCTGGTTCCAACGATTAGTGTTTACTTCGACACACAGGACAGTAAGGGGCAGATATAGATTCAGTTACGTAAGCAGATCTTCGATATTGCAACCTACTCAGTCGATACTCATCATGTTTGCAGTATATTTCCAATCCTCGAGCCCATTTAATTATGCAAATGTGTCAATATTCCTTTTCAGTGTTGCCGTTTACATAGTAATCAACAATATTGATATTATTTACAAAATGATTGTCTATGTGACTCAAGATGGGCTTGATTTCCAAGGGTTATCATTTATTCCGGAGGTATTTGGATAAGGATTCATTCTGAGGATCCGATCTTGGATTACGGTTTACGTGACTTGAGGTTGACGGATTGGATCACGTATCATAGTGGTAGTATTAGCATTAATAGTAGTAGTAGTAGTAGTGGTAGTAGTAGTTGTACCACTCCATCTGTTAGCAGCTCCAGTGGATTGCTTCCCGTACAATCGCACTGAACTGAGTCCAGTTTCCGAGTTGATCCTGATCCCAGACGGTTGTTATTTGATTCAGACTAAACCTCTGTCAATGACCACTGTTGTTGCTAAATATCGATCACAATGTACCACCCTGATAAAGTCAGAGTAACTTTTCGTCCGACGTGTAATTGAATCTGATCGGTGACTGAATCGGATCATAAATATCACCTTTTATTCCGAATGTGTTTGTTTTAGGTCCACTGGGATATCTATCGGGAAAATGATGACTCGAAGGAAAAAAATATCGGTTTCAGGACATTTTCGTATCAGGTTTGCTCCAGCGTCTGCGGGCTTTATTTTCAGGGTTGCACAATTCAGTATGGACTGTAAAACCATAGTGTGTTGGTGCATGGTTCCCGATGACTCCCAACGAGCTCATTAACCAGTAGGTTTATCGCGGATTCAACCAAGTGATCCACGAGTCCCTGTTATTAAACGCATATCTTTTATAACCAGCCAGTCCGTAGATTGTGTCTGTTGATTAGGGAGCAACTAGCTTATTAGAGCACATACCGACTGACCGATGGTTTGGGTATTAAGTAACACCAAATATGAGTTGAGTGAACGGTTGGTAACATGTGACCGATACTGAGAGTTCGATCAATGATGAAGACTAAGGAGGTGAAGTAGACTCCTTAAAGCTATGACTGTTCGGTATCCCGGATGTACTAAACTTTATGCATGCCCCGTATAGTATCACCAATTTCCTCAAAGCGAGCCTGTATCCTCTGCAATCGCGAAAAATAGAAATGCCTGCACTTCACAGCCTTTCAAATCTAAATGTGTTGCAGTTCTGATTTTTTGAGTTAACCCTATTCAAACTCGACAGTAAGAAAAACAGTAAAAGACAAAATTCGGACTGGCTTTGTAATATGAATACATCTGAACGAAAGTATATACAAGCAGTGAGTTGTGATTTACATTACAAGCTCATTTACTCCACCGTCTCTCTGTGTGTTCTGTGGAACGTTCTAGGTGTACATGGGGCATTCTGGTCACCGAGTCACACAGTCAGTTACACAGACGAGCGGGACAAACAGATCTCATAGTCGGGGGCCAGAAAAATGTACAGAGCATGGGAGAAATTTTATGGACCAGAAATATGTTGTCTGTTTTTCAACAGAGAGAGACAACCGAATATTATTATGGTGAGTAGAGAAGACATGCTTAGTGTAGTGGATCGAGTGGGTGTGTGGGAGCCGAGCGGAATCAACACACCTCCCTGTGTCCTTGTGCCCCCCTTCTAGTTTCACTCCGCCGAACTTAAGTATGATTTGATGGTGGTTAGGGGAAATACTTCATATTACTGGAAGTAGTGAAATCGCAGCACTAAAAGGTGCTAAGGGAAACAAAATACACAGCCGATTGGTCGGTTGAGAGAAACGTTGATGATGCACGAGACTGAGTTTGATTAGATTGTGTGTGTTCATGTGTGTATGTCTGCGAACATACAATCGCTTAAAATCAACAAACAGTTGTCAAAGAATAGCGGCAGATCATCAGAGTGAGAAATTACGAAGGGACAGAGAAGGGAAAACTGTGTTAGAGAGATGTTCATTTCGCAATTCGCTGATGGTTTAATGTCCGTATGATTACGGGTGTAAAGTGCAAATGGTTACATAGAGTGAGGTGTTTAATACTCGATGCAGACTACCTAATGGGTACCTTGGATTCACAGCGAGCAGGGTCAATTCGAGTGTAGGAGGGTGACACTACTGATGATGTTG